CCCCCCCCCCCTCCCAAATATAAAAATACTATTTAATTGATTAATAAGCGAGTCTGCTGTTCGTTAAATGGGCAACTTTGCCCTAGAGAAGTACTTCTTACGTACTTGAATAAAGACTTTGTCAAGTTCTTGTTCATTTCTCTCGCAGTATTGTTACAATTGATAAGAACACGTTAATGCTAAACAGTAACTGGATGGATGTCTAGGAAAATCGCATACATTTCTACCAGGGTTATTTAATTCTTAATCTTAATCTTACTCCTATTCTAGTGCATTCATACAATACTGTAACTTCTTTATTATTATTTTTTTTCATATTGTCTGTTCATCTTCGACATTATTTATTTATTGTTTACTAAAAGACTGTCTCGTGAGTGAAGATTATTATTATTATTATTATTATTAACAGATGAACGCACCGCCGATTGTTCTTTGCACATTATTTTATGCATTATGTTTGTTTTGAATTCGTTTCGTTATCGAGTGAAGATATATTGAATTGAACGTCGGAGCCGCGAGGAGAGGGGAAGATTAAGAGAAGAAAGAAAGACGCGGGTACAAACGTGAGCAATCACTTGCGATTCGTCGACGAGCGCGGCGCGCGGTCTAATCGCGCGAAAATCAGCCCAGCTTCGCCGACGACTTCGTCTCTGATTTATGCGTGTTATTTATCGGTCGATCTTGGTTTCGCAAAAGTTCGCGAAACTTTCGTCGTAATTTCGCACACCCGTGTCGTTTGTCACGCCGCATCGATCTATAAAGAAGCGTTTAGGACTCGCGAGCCGGCGGACGACTGCATTGCGTATTATAAATTCGTTCCCCTCTCCACCTCCCCGCCTCCTCTCGCGCATTCGCTTTCCGTCCCCGCGGACGAAATCGCGGTGGCGGATCGTCGGGGAGAAAGAGTGATGAGAAAAAAACGCGACGAGTCGGACGAGGCGAGCGGAGGAGGGGAAGCGGTGGAGAGACGGGACGCGAGTCGGCCTCGTAAAAGTGGATTAATTCGAACCGCCGTATATATACCGTCTCTCCACCGCCGGGGATCTTTTTTGCGCGAGTAAATTGTAATAACGGCCGAATGCGAAATCGCTGCCGGCGTTTTTCCCCCGCTCAAACGTCGCGAGAATTACTCGCGGACTTAACGGAATGAAATAGCGCGGGCGGACGCGCGCGGTCCATTCGTGAAATTGTGCCCTCGGAATCCACGATGCCGGGCAGCGGTCGATTTCGCGCACGCGGATGAAAAGAATCGTATTACTCGGTAATACCCCGGCGTTTTGTACGCGCCATGATCGCCGTTTAACGCTTTAAGCAGGTGAGCGCGTCTCGTGATTCCGGCAACGTTCGCTCTCCCTTTCTCCTCTCTTTCTCCTTCTCACACATTCACACCCTTATCCTCTCTTCTGTGTAAATTTATCTAATCCCTTTTCTTTCTATTTAGTTAATTTTAATTGTCAAGCTCGCGTTATTGTTCAATCATACTCACCTTATTTATTCTTTCCTCTTACTTCAGTACCTTCAATCGTTATCTTGCAATTTACTCTCGCATCCTTAACTCGCACTTCGCGAATCAATTGGTATACGAATACTTTTCTCGGCTTTAGAGACAGAGAAAAAGATTCTTTGGATTTAGTATACGTGTGTTTACTTGATTTGGATTTGTTTGCAAAATAATGTAATATCAAATATGATTTTGTTTGTATGAAAATGTTGTTTTCAGAGTAAATCATGTCGTTTGATTGCAAAAAAAAACCCCTATTATTTAGAGAAAATAATATTTGGTTCTCAATAAAAAAAAAATGATATCGTTATGTATTAAATGTTATTCCACTGAGAAACAAAGAAGTTTTTTTTATGCTTGTTTAACATAATGTTTCTTCTTTCAAATAATTTATTACTTCTGCACAACCATTATTACATCTGGATGAAAATATAAGAAAAACACGTTATTTGATGTACACCGAAAAACCCATTTAGTTGACTCAAATAAAGTTTGGTCAAAGTATGCAAAATTTGGTTTTCTGAACCAAAGCTTTAGATCTTTGAAATGAGAAAAGTTTTGGTTTCAGAGAACTAAACCTTTGGTTCTCGCAACCAAGAGATTTGTTTGAACATATAGTCGAATTTTATTTGAGTCAACTCAACTGGATTTTTCAGTACAAGGATATTCATTGTTTGAGAAACCAAAAATAATCCCTGTTTGATCAAACATTCGTTCGTTTGCTCTGATTCAAAAAAACAATTTGTTTCAATAAAAAAAAATGTTATCATATCCAGAAGAAAAAATCTTTTTCTCGGTGTAAAGGACTTGTTTTAAGGCGATGATAAACGCTTCTCTCTCTCTCTCTCTCTTTATCGCTCTCTTGCTGGTGTTGCGTTCTAATGGTTTCTGTATTATAATACGGCGCGTTCGCTTCATGACGACGTCGTTAATTCGAGTTTATTACATACGCGTCACTAAGTATTTACGAGACTCGGAAGATATGCGCGTTCGCTTTTATCCGCGACTCTTATGCGCGCTGGCGCACGAGTCGCGTCGGCGATTGTGCGCGGCGCGACGACACCCGGCCGGGACTGTTGTTTCAGTCGCGACGCAAGTCAGGAACGCAAAGGGCCCGCCAAACCGCGCGATAAATTTCTATTATGCCCGGCGAAGGATCCGCGGAGTCAACGCGGGGAAGACGCGGAGGGGGGGAGGGGGAGGAACTCGTTGCAAATTACTCGATGCGGAAACAAGCGCGGCGGGAGACAAAGTGTGTACACACCGCCGCGCGCGGTTCCCTTTACTAATTTTCCCGGATCCGTTTAAATTTCTCGCCGCCGGCCTCCCGCGAACTTCCCTTGCCCTTTCGGCGGGCTGCGAACGCGACGTTGAATCTTCAGTCCGCCCCGTTTGACGAACTATGCGTCAGTTATGCGCGAATTATTCCCGTCACCGCCCGTTTTGCGGGGGCGAGCGGAATTTTCCGGGAGCCTAATGGCCTCCTAATAACATCTAGCGTGATAAATTCCGCCGGCAGCGACAAACCGAATATCGTCGGAGACAGAGAGAGAGAGAGAGAGAAACTCCCGTTATCAATCGATTCGCGATAAGCGGAGCGCGATACGAATCTCTCGTACGCGAGTTTTCATCGACGTACGTTGAAACTCCGTAGTTTCCGACTCGCCAATGCGAATGTTTTCTGTTGCAGTTGGCGGACTTCCCCGTGATGGAGCTGCCCAAACAACGTGAGTAGAACTTTTCTATATACCTTTGGAACTTTCCGTCCGACGTCGTTAGATAAATTACAAATGTGCATGTGTGTGCGCACGCGCGTACGTGTGCATATGTGTGAGCGCGATCGAGATTGAAAGTGTGTTCTCGAGTTTCCCCGCGATCGTCGCAACACGACGAGTGATATCGCGCGGAAAAAGCGACGCGAATCAGGCGTCTTGCTTGCGCGCTCCTTGTGGTCGCGTCGTAACGATCACTTCGCCTCTGTATAATTAGCATACACATTCGCGTTATCTCTCCTCATACAAAATTACCGGTTATGCACGTGGGGATTTCTAATGATTGTTACGTTACACGTCGCCGTCAATCGGACGAGCGAGACATTCTCTTCGGCGCGACCGGCGCATTCGCGTCTCTATAAGCTCGACATTTTATCCGCACCCCACCCCGGTGATAGGGTAATAAAAATGAGGCAGTCTCAATTGAGATATCTGTTGGAACTTTTTTACAATCGATATTAATTAAAGTGTGACATGATGTAACCAAATTGAGGTTCAAAAGAAAAAATAGAAGAAAGCCTTTTCTTTAAAAAAAAAACACGATTTCATCTTATTTCGTAACCCGGGATAAGATGGGATAACGCTGAGGATAAGATGAGATTGTTAAGAGCAAGATGATTTCCGTTATCATTGGCGTATAAATCACGAATAAATTTTGCTACTTTGTTTCACCTTTATGTGAAATCCTGTGCAAGATTCGCGTGTTCAACGTAGACAAATTCGACAAGTCGCTCGATCTTCCACAGACTACGAATACAGGCCTGTGGAATATATGCGTTAAATGACACCCAGTCATGCGGCACAGAGTTATTTAAACATACGGCGGTAATGAGAATTATTAAGATAATGTAGAAACATCCCCGCTCTCGTCCCATTCAGTTGACTCCATCTTGATCCAAGTGGTAGATGCGAAATTACGCTTTGTAGAATAACGGAATTAAATTGACAAAAGACTAATCTGCTATAAAACGTAACATATTACGTGTGACGCTTACTTATCTCTTTTAGTATCGTATGATAAACACAAGTCATCTGATACGGCATCAAACAATTCGTAAAATTACATCAGGTTTATTGGCTGTCGTAAACTCATTCGAACTTGCGACATGTGTAGCCCCTGCTATTCGTCATGGACATTGACTCGCTTCTCTCTCTCTCTCTCTCTCTCTTGCACGTGCAAGTCCAAGTCAGTAGTTGCGTCCTTATTTCTATTTTCCGTTTAACCCTCCGTCTTGTCCCCCTTATTTTCCGCGCGTTTACGCAGCGATAATTCTCCGCGATGAAATGCGCGTGCACGTTTATTGTACGAGAATACAAAATACATAGGATTAACCGGTCGCCGCGGCGAGCATAATTTTCGGCAAGCCGGTCGCCGGCACCTCGCGCTGCGGCAGCGATTAAAACGATACCGCGGCCGCAATATCGCGCGGAACGATGTTTTAAAGTCACGCGCGTGGCGCGCGCGCGCGCTCGAATGGATATTAATCGGCGCGTCCGTAATTCGCGTATATCGATATGGCTGTCACGGGATCGATGCGAGCGCGCGGGGCTATGCGCTATACATCCGCTTAACGAAATGTTTTCATGAAAAAATAAAAAACAGAGGCAGAGAGAGAGAGGGGGGGGGGTAGAGTCGAGCGAGAGAGACATTCGCGGACGTGGCGAAGCGACAACGGCCGGACCACGCAAAAACCTGTGGATTCGGCCGCGTATGTGCACACACGAATCCGCAAAACCCCGCGCGATCGTCGATTTTGCGGGCACGATTTCATGAATCAACTATCCGACCTCCGCCGGCCGGCCGGTCATTCGAGCGCACGAAATGCGCGATTATTTATCCGCTCGCGCGACTCATTATTTATCGCAGGCACACGCGGCTCCGCTCGTATCTGCTCGCGCTTAATATATACCGTTATTGGTCTTTCTTTTTTCCTCACCTGCGTTTTTACGATTGGCTTCGAGATCGGGAGTAAATTTCCGCGATCGCAAGCGGGGATCGAACGCGTTTCTCGCGAGAAAAAAAATTTCAAGCGCGCAACCGCCATTTGTTATTATTATCGTCGAGACTCGCGAAACAGATCGTGTCGGAGGGAGGAGGGGGGAGCAGACGTGGTTTTTAATATTTTATCGTAACGGAGAAGCCGCGCGTGAACGTTTATTATCGTTATTATCTGGGAGCGCGATTTATTCGAGCGCGCGACGGAATTTGTCGATTTTCCGAAAGGCCGTGAAGTAATTTCTCGGCGTACAAATTGTGGCATCGGGGTAATAAACGGAATATCCACGAGAAGTATCTCTCTCTCTCTCTCTCTCTCTTGCGTGCGTTAACGGTTGCCGCGCCCGCGATAAAGGTGCAACCGCGGGAAAGCTTGAAAGTGTAATATTCGTTGCGAGCGTTTAAATATTTGACATCTCCTCGCCGGCGCTTTGCCGCGCGCCAGGCGGAAGCTTTCCCCGCCGTAATACTCTTTCATACGCTAAACCCCTCTCCCTCCCTCCCTCCTGACTCGTTCTTCGTACGAGAACCCGCGGGACGCGTTATTATTGTAGGGGAGGAGGCAGCTGAGAGGGGCAAATTAGCGGCCCCCCCCCCCCGTTAATACGGCTCTCCCGCAAATGAACGACACGATTTTTCGCCGAAATGAGCGATGTGTGTTTACGGCGGGCGGGAATTAATTACAACCCCCTCCCCTCCTCCCCATCGAACCTCATTCATCGCGATGAATAATAAACGGAACGCACTTGTTTAATCGGCGAAATTAATTAGCGGGGAAATCGACGCTCCCGCGCGATTGATTCTCCGTATATAACACGCGGATGAAACTCGAGGAAATTTCGCGCGATTCCTTCTCTCTTTCTCTCTCTCTCTCTTGCGAGCTCATAAATCCGCGATGAGACGGGCTTTTGAGAGGGGTCGAGGGAGAGGGAGGAAGAAAAGAGAATACCTGTGGATTCGTCGATATTCCGGCATTTCTAAACGAACGGGCGAAAAGGGTTACCGTTTCATGAATTAACCATTTCGCTCCCCCCCCCCCCCC